TTATATTTTTTAAATTACTGTATTTAAAAAAAAATATTTTAATTGTATCTGATAATTACAGTAACGCCCGGTTTCTTTAGTGTGCTATAATCAGCCTCTACTGAGAAAGTCCAACAACAGCAGCAAATAATAAAACTGCACACCACAATGTGGGGTAGCTTAAAATAAAGGTAGGAAGGAAATGCATCTAAGTTGCACTAAAAAAAAACTAATGCCTTATGCTTGACATATACTTTGCAATTTTAGAGCTTTGCATGAACTTTTAACCATTGTAATCTGCCACCCACAGTTCTTACCTAGGTTTGGAATAACCAAATGACTGAAATTAATTCAGAAATTATTTAAAATTGCCTTTCTACTTCCACTGCAGCGGTTTATAATGGTTTCCACAGCCATTTTTTTCCTTCAAAACTGGGCAACAAATTAAAGTGTAGAAAGCTTTACAAATGTCAACAAAATTGCTAGTATATGACCAGTATTATAGAAGCAGCTCTTTACCTCTAATGCTTTTAGTGTGTATGCCTGCTATAATATTACCATTACTTTCTAAACTCTACATATGAAACCCATTAGGTATAATGTACCTGTAAAGGCAAATATGTTTGTGGGATGTCCACCCCTTTAGCGTATAAAAAATCAATTGCAATAATGAAATTGAATAGCAAATACATCAGTTTAATGCAGCCATTATTTAAACAGGTTTTGAATTCCCATACAAATCTATCGAAATGCAAAATCTGCTCACTCCTGTGATGGACTACAATCTCAATACAAATTGGTAAACTAAACATGAGATTGTAGTCCATCACAGAAGTGAGCTTGGAGCGGTGGGTACTTTACCACACACACAGGGACTATGGGGAGCAAAAAAGCCATCCTCCAGAAGGAAGGACAGTGTCAGCACCAATTCAGAGATGATTTGAGGATCTGCAACCGATCTGCATTTTTAGTGTTAAGTGTCACTTTAATAGTTCACCAGGAGCTGAAAAGAATAGCAAGATTTCGTTTCAAAGCTTCAGTATCTTGCTAGTTGGTCCGGTGGTTGACAAAATACCTGAACAATCTGGTTGGATGAAGGCATTGTTCAGGTTCTTTGAGAGCCAGTGGGGTTGACTAGCAAGATACTGAAGCTTGGCCCAGCAGGAGATTCCTCCATCCCCACAGTTTAGTGTAGATGGAGGAATCTGTTGCACTTTTTCCATCTGACCATAGACAATCTGCAGATAATCAATACAGTAGATGTATGGCCAACTTTAGAGGTCTATTTATAAATGGTTTCCCATAAGATTCACATAGCATTTTACCCAGGAAAAATGAAATTTGTATGAATGTTGTGTGAAAAAGTTTATACATGTAAAAAAAATTGATTGGTGTAACTTTCACTTTTATACAAACACATGATCATATCCCTTACTTCAATCATCCAGCCAAAGTCCAGTTTTATTTAATTTCCCTTGAACATGTTTGGGCAATCACAGCTAACATAGCTTTCCCATATTCAGTAACCCAAGTGAACATTCTCTACTCCTTGATCAATCAATCTCAGTGAATATACCTGTTTTTACTTATGAGCCTATTTACCAAAGCAGCAGTAAGTGCATATTTGCCATATTTTCGTATTGCTTGTATATAAAATGGTGTTTTGGTGTCTTTGATGTGAAAGATAGGTCAGGTTTGTATGCCATTTCTCCAGCAGCATACACTAGTGCAGGGTATGGTAGAAAGGTTCAGCAGGTTGCTACTGACTAACAGGAGTGTTCACATCGCTAAACTAAAAAATACCAAATTTCTCTTAAAAAACCTTTTCTCTAAAACTACCACTTTTTAGCTAAAAATATATATTTCTTTAGAGATTACATGTTTTTCTAAAAAAATTAATAAATGCTAATTTGTTTTATTCTAAAGTTGTTTAGTCAGATTGAAGAGAGGCACATGTGCATTGAGTTCACGCAAAAAACTTGCTTTTATATTAACATAAAAAAGCCACTTGTCACAAATTTCAAAGAGCAACTTAATGTTTTTCCAATTCGTCAGTTGACTGACAGACAACAGTTGGTGAAAACTTTGTCAAAAGAAGCATATTAGGAAATGGCATAAACATTTCATAATGCTCTGGCACTGAGGCAGTTATACTCTCCCAGTCACTATATGGTAGGTGGGAAAAGGTGTTGCCCAGAGAATTGACCATATTTTTTTTTTACATTTCCTAAGGAACCTGTACAGATTATATACAGAACTCAAACTACAAAATATGAACTCATGAAGATTCCGAAACACTTTGACTGATCCACCTGTGCTCAGAGGTTGTATAACCTTCTTAGAGTTCATAATTCCATCTTTTTCTTTTTAAACAGAAATGTTGGCCTTTTATGTTCCTACTGTATCGCTACTACATTAGAAGAAACTTTCAAAAGGATACAGTACTGAAATTGAAGTTAACTTACCATCTCTAGACATTCCCAGGGCAAGACACTTTTGCAGTCTACAGTGTTGGCAGCGGTTTCTATTTGTTCTGTCAATTAAACAGTTTCTCTGCCTTGGGCACGAATAAGAGGCATTGTTTTGTTGACTTCTTCTGAAGAATCCCTGAAATGGTAAGAGATAATAAAGGCTCCAAATGTTATTTGTGTTAATTAAAAGTATTGTGATAGAAATTGTCTCATTACTTAATAAAGAAGAAAAAATAAATCTCTGGGATGTTGATTTGTGTATGAAATGTAGCCCTGCAGTATGACATTAGCATTCAGAAGGCTCATAATGGGATATCATTAATACTATGGAAGATATACTTATTAATGTTTACTGTGGCTGTTGTTACCAAACATACAAGGGGGATTTTAAGGCTGGCCACAAATGAAATTGTTTTTAATCTGAAAAAAAAAAAGATCCCACATTAGAAACAAGATCTACACAACCATAGAAATGTTAATGGTGTTTTAAAATGCAAATTATTCTTATGTAAGACATAATCAATTTCATATGGAATCCATAAATATTAAAAACCCATGTGGTAGTGATATAGAATATATACAGCCATGGCCAAAAATATTGGCACCCCTGCATTTCTGTCAGATAATGTACCACCGCACAGACAACAATAAATTCCACTATCCACATTCCAAATGTGATTAAAATTAAGTGTCCAAAATCCTCTAGTGCAAAATATGCTCACTTTGCAATTGGTTCACAACCCACGCCATGACACTTCTGTGTGTAAAAAAGTGCTGCACCTTTATTGGAATGCTCCTCGCCTTTGTAGATGGACCGTATCCGCTGGAGATTAGGTAAACCACGCTTTTGAAACCAGCGTACTGGCTTCAGCTCGGCTGGCTTGAGCTCAGCTGAACATGCTTAGCATGTTCGGCTGAGCCGAAGTGCAGAAAGAGTTCCACTCCAACTCCAACATCTGGATCGGATGAGCCGATGCTCCGGCAGCTCACTTGCTGCCGTTCGCCCCTGAATAGCCAAATGCTACCTACGTCCGTGGTACCGAGCAGAATAGGAAATCAATGAAAAAAGTTGAGAAAAAGATTTTAAAAAATATAAACAAATATAAGATTAAAAAAATAAAGATTTTTTTTAAAATAAAAATTAAAAAAAAAATCAAGATGATTGAAAAAAAATAAAAAATGAAAGATTTTTGAAAAAAGAAAGATTATTGAAAAAAGAAAAAACAATTGGGCTGAGCTAGCAGTGACACCTAGCTCCACCCAACTGTTTCTTATTGGACGGGACCTGCTAGAGTCTTCTAGCAGGGCCCCGCCAATGAA